TTTATAATGATGTTTTGCGATTGTGTTGCATTGCAATTTTGTTTTTTTTGTGTGTAGTCAATTTGAATTTTTTTTTTTTTTTTTTTTTTTTTGAAAAACGTGTGCAATTTCTCAAGGTAATCAAATTCATTTAATTTCATTCATTCATTCATACAATTTACATTTAGTGTCTGCAAAATGTCTAGCGCTCGTGTATATTATCAATCAAAAAAAAAAATTTCTTTTTTTTTGCGCAAACAAACGCAATTCGTTACATTAATCATGAAAAAAAAGGATTCTATTACGATCCATTAGCGTGAAAAAAAAATATTTACGGAAGTTTATGAAACAGAAATAATAATAGATAATGATTGATAGATAGAATGATTCCTGATTATATTCGTGTTAAGGATGATAGGTTATCCAATTTTATTATATCTATATATATTTCAACACATTTGACTTTTTTTTTATTCCTTTCTAAATTTTTCGAAACAATTTATATTAAACAGGTAACAAACAAACAAACAAACAAACAAAAAAGAGGCGCCATTTGAATTCAATAATGACTTCTTCTTTCTTTCTTTCATTATTTCTTCATCATTTTTTTTGCCCGAATTGACAATCACTAGCCAAATGTTCGACAAGAATGCATTCAAGCATCGAATTGGTGGTCGAGAGAAAATGATCTTTTGCCTGATTATTATTATTATTATTTGGATGGTTTCTTTTTTATTTTTATTATTATTTAGCTGACTGCTTACATAGGTAAGGCAATCATCGTCTTTGGCAACTTGGTAGACATTCGATGATGATGATGATGATGGGCAAGAAGTTTATACGAACAATTTTTTTTAATGTTCAGTTTTCGAGGCCAAACGAACATCTATAAACCTCTTTCTTTCTTTCTTTCTTTTATTTGTCGTTGTTGTTCTTTGGAATCACTTTTGCTCATACACACAAACAATAGGGCGACAAACACACACACGGAAAAGCAAAACTTGCGCAACGATGACAATGTGTGTATGTAACTTGTTTCATATTTCATACCTTGATCATCATGATTGCAGTGAGACAAAGAGGATACGATAGATTAAAGTAACACGAAAAACAACATGCATGCATGTTTCTCGTCATTTTATATGTCATCCCCACATTGTTGTTTGTTTGTTACCCCTTTTTGTTGTTGTTGTTGATGTTCGAATATTTTGTTTCGAATCAATTTAGTAGGCGTATTTTATTTCATTGCATGAGAAAGATGCAAACAACAATTTTCGCCTTAGGTGAGCAATTATTATATTTATCGAAATGATGAGAATGAATGGATTAACTCTCAAAGTATTTTGTTTTTATTATAATGAAAAAAAATGTAAGGGAAAAAATTCTCAAATATATTTTTTTCAAGTGTTAATTGAAAGAAATGTTTACGCAATCGAATGAATTCGCGAATCGTAATGATGAGAAACTTTACCAGAATTGCACGTGTGTGTTGCTGCCAGATGTCCTTGCATGCTTGCTGTATACACGCCAATTCGATTTTGTTTTTCGAATTTCAAACGGTATTCGATTTCGATTTGATTGGAATATCAATCTGCTAATTGTGAATCGATCGATTGTGAAAGGGAATGCGATCCATTACTTGGAATGTATTCAAAACGTTTCGTACCCAAATTAAACGTACGACTGGATTCGTTCATTCAGTCATTTTTGGCCGTCGTAATCTTTTGCTCACCAATGCACTGATTTCGGCATCTATGGGTGCCATAGGTGATTCTATACAACAGAATTTCGATATTCTAATGGACAATGTTCACAAAAAGAATGATGATTCAAATGAATCGAAAAAATCTACCAACTATTCGACTATTCGAACCGTTCACATGACTACGGCTGGTTTGAGTACCGGTGTTCTTACTCATTATTGGTATTTATTGTTGGAACGTTTTTATGGTACAGTAAATCGTCGTCATCCTGTTACATTAATCAAATTGGTTTTGTTGGATCAAATCCTATTCAGTCCGGTCAATTTATTCGGTATGTATTCGGATTATAGTTGATAACAATTAATAGTCATTGGAAATTTGTCTTTCTTAAAAAAAGTCTATTTCGGTACACTATCGCTATGCGAACGTTCTGGTTGGCATCATTTCAAACAGGAATTGCTGGAAAAGGGAATGGAAAATATTTATATTGCCGAATGGATTATTTGGCCACCAGCTCAATTGATCAATTTTGCCTTGTTACCACTACGTTATCGTATATTATTCGACAATATTATTTCATTAGGTTTTGACATCTATGCACCATATGTCAAATACAAGAAACCATTACGCGAACAACACGATTCTTCTTGAACCGGATTGCTGTATTCTTCATAGACCATTTCTCATCTAAATAAATTTGATGTGATACTTGAGTATTGGCCATTATGGTCCTGTTAAAAGCTTTGTTATATATTTTCTTTTGTCCTTAATAAATTTTTTCTAATTCATTTACCTCACCTCTTTATCGATTCATTCGATCAAATGAATGAATTATTTTTATGGATAAATAAAAGCATCCATCGTTAACCGAGGTAAAAAAAAAATTCAAATCTTCAGTTTCGCCATCTAGTTTTAAAGAAATTTATCAATCATTGATCTTACATTGACTTGCAGACTCCATAGATGGCGTTTATTTTCTCTTAATTTAAAATTCGGATTAAATTATTGATTTGCATTTCATGTTTACAAAACTTCTAATAAATATTTGTAATTTGAATAAATGGATATTTTTCAATGATGAAGGCAATGAATTTGGAGACAATAAGGAAATATAAATTCAAATCCAATAATTCATTTTACTTTGTATATTGAAACATTTGACAATTTTTGAATAGACCAAGAACGAACGATCCGTTTCATTGAAAAATCAGGCATCAATTAAATGATGATGATGATGATGATGATGAAAATATAATGACCAAATAGCTTAGCGGATCAGCACGACAATGTTCCAATTTCTCCTTGCCAATTTATTTCATTGGACAATCATATCCAAAAAACACCGGTCAACAATGGTGAAGACAACAAGGATTCCATGATCCAATTTTTTTAAAAGTCAATTCAATTCAATTCAATCCATTGCCATTATCCATCCATTTATTCATTCGGGGCTCATCATGAATAATGGTCGTCGTCATCATCATCGAATTTGCGAATTCAATTTCAATCACATCATCATCATTATGACGAGAAAATGATTAAGAAGAAAATGAAATATATATAAAAAAAAATTGAATCGTCCAATTGATGTCAATGACAATGGTTCACCCATCAGGTGCAACAATATTCTTTGTGTTTGTATGTAATCTACTGAATTGAATAAAGTGATATTGATGATGATGATGATTGTTTCCAACATTGTAAATGTATGGATAATGATGGCCATCATCAGATAGATCAGTTACCATTCTTTGCATCACCAAGACAATAATGCCACCATTTTATCCTTTACAACACAAATAAAAATAAAAATTTGAAAAATTGAAATAAAAAAATATGGCCAATGGCTTAAACAAAGTTATTCGAATTGAATTTTATTGTTTGTTGTTTAGCATCCCTCTATACATTTTGTTGTTTGTACAATTTTTGTTTTTGATATTGAATCGAATTCATTCACTCATACATTCATTCTCATTTATTTTATTTTATTATTTTTCGAATGAATCAATCTTGAATGTCCGTTCTTTATTGTTGTTTTTTGTTGTTGTTGTTGTTGGATTGTGTGAAGAGGTCAACATGAATGCCAAGTATGGACAACATCAATTCTTGTTCAGTTTAGATCAAGTTCGGATTGATTTTCGTTGTTATCGTTGTTGTTGTTGTTGTTGTTGAATGCATGATATGATGATTATAAAAATGTTAGACAATCTGACATGACATCAACAACATGTCATGTCAAGTAATGTTAATAATCTTCCTTTCTCGTACTACAGAAGCTATGAACATTATGGTTTTTCCATTTTTTTTTTGTTATTGCAAATTTTTTCGATTCTTTTTCCATATGGCAAAAAAAATTGTAAATCAACAAAGTTAATCATTTTATCTTATTTTTATTTTTTGTTTATTATTTACTCATTATGAAAATATACTTAATGGAATATTTTAAATTTAATAAATTAATGATAATAAAATAAATTATTAAATTATTGAATAACTATATTACTAACCACGTTTAAGTTTGTTCAATATAACAAAATATGTTAGTATTTTGACAATAATCAAATAAATTATCATTGCAATTAATGATCGATATAATACCCAATCACCACCAATATCATAATAGCTAAATATAACAGAAACATCATATGAAAATTCTCGATTTGAACTATCTATTGCATTAAATGTAAATGTATAAAGCTTTTCTATAGCTTGCTCATCATCATCCATATCGGTAAATGTTTCGTTGGGATTCAATGTAGATAACATTAGTGGTAAATATTCGGCCCATGTTGGCTTCTCAATCTGACTGACATTGACAGTGGCAAGAAATTCATCATAATTATATTTGCAACGTTCAAAACCATATATGGCTGTTATCATTGCTTCAAAAGCATATTTCATCATCGATAACCAAGATGCCCATTGCATATAAAATGGCATACGAGAATATTTAACCAAAAATCCTCCAAACAATATCATCGGCATTGGTATAGCACCAGCAGCAAATGCAGCTGTAGTTGAATCACGCATAAAAACTGCTGATACTGCAGCTCCCATACCTTCGGCTACAAAACTTACCAATATGGTAATCAACAAAAGATAAGCTTCGCGAAAATATTGAGAAGGTTGACCGGTTGCGTTATAGATATAGATCGTGTAAATTGTTGGAATGACCAGCTAGGAAAAAAAATAGTTCAATTGTGAGATATGGTTTCCAAATAAAAAACATTATACATCATAAACAATCTTACCTGCATCGGTATGTCAAGTATGGTTTTGGTCATATAGAAACTAATACATGAATACCAACCATTGTTGTATTCTTTCATTAATGTATGCATCTCTTTAGGAAATCCCAACACGGTGGTCGTTATACCGCTGATTAGACCAACAATCAATCCAAAGAATAGACAGCAATTGTTTTGCAATATTGCAAGCACCTCATCTTCAAACATTGAATTAAGTTTTTCCATAGGAATATTATACAATTGAAGCTTTCTAAGTGGACAACCAGATGATTTACCGATTGTATCACCAAATGTAACCGATAGCCAAATACTAAGCAATATGATACCAATCACTCGATAGAATACAATCATCATATTTCGACGAAATATTATTGAATGTCGACCCAATAATATTAATGTTGATTTCAATAATGGAGTTTTTCTTATAACTTTACTTTCAGCTATCGTCATCAAATGTTCCAATTCATCGTCGTTTATTTGTGATCCTTGAAATTCTTGCTGTATTAATTCGATTGGTTTATCACCATAATCACCTGCAGCTATTTCAATTATATAATCCGGTGGAGAATTGTAACGATGACAGGGTAGATTGATTTTCTCTAACAATGGTAACAATCTATGTGGAGAACCTAGATAAAGATTTTCTCCTTTATTGTTAATAATGTAAACGTTATCAAATTCGGTAAATACGCTCCATGATGGCTGATGAATAGTGGCCAATATTGCCATAGGGTATTTTGGATTTTTAACTAATTCACGAATTATTTTTACCACTAATGAACACGATGCCGAATCTAGACCGGTTGTCGGTTCGTCCAAAATTAACAAATTCGGTTTGGAAAACAATTCTAATGCAATTGAAATTCGTTTCTGTTGTCCGCCCGAGCAACGAGCCACTTTAGTGTCACGAATTTCGCTTAAACCAAATTCTGTGATTAATTTTTCCACACGATTATAGTTGACAGTTGGCATCGTTGAATAATTCAAACGGCAAGCAAATGTAAGCGTTTCGAAAACAGTTAACAATTCCATAAGGCAATTGTTCTGTGGTACATATGCTATACGAATTTGACTGATGTTTTTAACTTTGATACAACCGTTTAGGCCTTTATTTTTACGACCTGATAATAATATTGTCATTGTAACATCACACATAATACTATGATATACTTCAATACTTACATGCTAACACTTCGAGAAATGTAGATTTACCGGCACCACTTGGACCCATTATTGCCGTAACTTGGCCACTATCAATTTGACCAGATAAACCATTCAATATTTGGCGTGTACCCATTTTAAATGTAGCCCGATTAAATTGTTGTACACTGTAAACAATATCTTTCCATATGATATTGAAATTTTTGGCTGAATTTCCAATCGGTAATACTTGATTATTGTTCATCGATCCATTCATAATGGTCGGAATTTTTATTGAATTCGGATTAACAAACATTTTAATTTTACCATTATCCACTGGTGTAATTCGTGTTTGAACAAAATTAACATTGTTTACATTTTTAATTGATTTAAGTACAGGACTTGTATTATTTGTCATACTTGTATTCAAACGATGCTGTGTTATAGATGGTGATGGTGTATGATTACGATGATCTGTTTCATTGTTTGGAATCAAATTTGATTGCGATTTATGTGATTCAGCTGAATTTTGTTCATCATTAAAACGTTGATTTAAAACATTATTATTATTATCATCATCATCAAAATTCAGGATATCACTATTAATAGTAAGTGAATCTTGACTAATATCCTGTTGAATATTCATAGTTTTTTTTTCTCAAATTTAAATATTTTACTTATTCCATTACAATTATTTGTATAACAATTTTTTTAAAAAAATTCATCACAAACGAATGTTATTGACGACTAAACGAATATTTTCATAAACCACATAAAGATATGAATTTTTAAGTTGTTGACGACTATGAGACTATGACGACAATCAGTACCTGTATATACCTGTATTAACAAAAAAAAAGGAACAAAGTCAAAAATATTAATGTTTCTTTTTTTATATATAAACTTTCAAGTTTAATGTCGATTTTTTTTCCAATTAAATTCATTTCGTTTAGAATTTAGAATTTCGATTTCGATCAATTTTTTGTTTTTGTTTCTTGGATTCCGCTCCCTGTGTTTTCATATGCTATATTTGTATATGAATGGGTCAATTTTTTTCATATAAATATATTATTTGTATGAAAAAACGAAGAATATAGTTTCAAACGAATAAAAAAATCGACCGTCTTTGAACTTGAAACAAAAAAATAAAATAAAATAAAATAAAATTTGGTTCCCTTCCTTCAAGTTAGTTTGCAAGAATAAAAAAAATCATTATCATCAATCGATTATTTCAAGTTTTATAAAAACTAATTTTTTTTTTTCGCTGAAACAAGTAAATTAATATATTGTTTTATCATTCATTTCAGCAACAACAACAACAACAAAAATCCATATTAATCAAATGATTAGTATTGAACAATAATCGATTAGATAAAGTAGAAAATTCTGGTTTTGTTTTAAATTCATTAATCAATTGAATAACTTGGCAACTATAGCTAACATTCTGTTCATATTTATTATTCTTATGATGAATGGGGTATTTTTTTTTTTGATCGATAAAATTGAATTTTCTCAAAAATATATCATATATAGATGATGAAAATCTGTCCAAAGATGAACATTGATTAGCAAAAAAAAAACCCAAGAAACTGGCTTCAAATATTTTACGTCAGTTAATTAGTTAAATTTACATGAAATGAACAATTTAATGTTTTGAATTTTTTGTTTTGTTTTTTTTGGTTATAAGCAAAAAAACTCCTAAATAGACCTAACACGATTGTTTGCTTATTTTTATATCAACAACCGATAGATTGCATATTTTTTTTTGATATAACTTTTCCTTTTATAAATGGTAACTAACTATAAATAATGGAAAAAACATAATTTGAATCCAAACAAAAAGGATATGACCGATGAATTTTGATTTCATATGTGTATGTATATGCGACAGTCTATGTTTATATTTGTTAAATCATTTTTTTTGTTTTGTTTTACAGAATGATTGAAGAAATAGAATAGACTTGGCTCATTAACATTATACATATATTCAGGCTAAAATAATTCAAATGAAAATCATAGATATGATATGGATATTCTCTTTTTGTGTTTATTTAGTCTAGGGTCACCTATTCATCATCATCATGATTTATTATATGAAACAAAATCACATTCAGTTTAGGTTTTTTTTGGCTCTGTCATGGTTCTCTTTTACTGATTCACTGATTAGTGAATTCTTTTTGGATTGGATTGCAAAAACTTTTATGGACAATTGGTTGCTAGGCATCTGACAAAGGTCAACTAAACTGAATAAAAATGTTTTCATTCGTGGTCATGAATCAAGTGTTGATGATTATAACCATACAATTATAAATGTAAATGAATGCAAACCACAAACTTAAAAAAAACAAAATCATTTTCTAGCTTATCACAGGACCATAAGGTCTCAAAGTTCAATTCGATTTATTTTGGATACATTATATTATTGTGTGAGAAATACATACAATAATAGTGTATTGCACTATTATTTACATATTTGATTGCCACCATCATCATCATCATCATATAGAGTTTGTTGTGGCTATTTATTTATTGGCAAAGAAAAATTCTTGGCTATATCAAACAAGTGCCTACAAACACTGAAGTATTATTAAAATGAAGCCATTTGTTGCATTCATTTTAATGGATGATCAAATGTAAATAATAATAGCATTTTGATGGTCAACAATAATCATGATTTCAAAAAAAAATTGACTGAACATACATCAACAAATCAAACGAAGAAATTTAATCCTATACGATTCTTTCGACTTAATACAAGAATAAAAGCCGATATGAAACATCATTATCATTGAAATTTTGATGGTCACTTTACGATCATTCACACAGTCAGTGTTTGGAAAAAAAATAATGCATCATTCTCCCTAAAGGAAAACCATATCGAAATGCATACCAGATTTATTAGTTAGTGTTTGGTCGGTATCTCGTGACAAGATCATAGCACAGCAGCAGTTTGAATGACCGAGCAAGGGTAATAAAATAAAATAAAAAAAATTGAAATGAAATGATCCAATTCAATCCGATCTATGCGTGTGTGTATCTTTTTCTGTTGTTTTTGTTGCTGATAATGTTCACTGATATGAATAAAACATCAATAAAAATCGATCGACATGAAAAGCATCAGAACACAATGGGCTTGCAATGTTGTTTTTTGCATTTCAGGAACAACAACAAGCCAGTAAAATTTTTAAAAAAACAATCGATACAATTGGAAGCAATGAAACACATGAACATCAGGTTGGCCAATTTTATTAAGGACAATAAAATTTAATTCGAAAAAAGTAAAAAGTTTCGATACTTTCCACATGTTTGCCGCCGACTCGATTATTCAAATAGCATTCATCAGAGGATGCTAATAATTCTACGTTCTAAGTCGAATTTTAAATTTTATTATCATCTTTCTATTGAACATAATGCCCAGCCAGTCAGGTCAATAATAATTTCAATCAGTTTTGAATGTTATTTTATTTTTATGATTTTTATTATTATTATTTTTCAGCCAGGTTATCAGAACAGAGAGGTGTCAAACACATCGATTTAGAATTAGATTGAAAAGCAATCGATATTGAATTTTCAATTATTAGATTGATCGATTCGAATCTACAAGTTGTTATTGTTATTCAATTTTATTTTTATTTTTATTTTGGCGTCATCATATCAGCAAATACAGAATTGCGTGACTCATTCATTGATTAATAGTTGATGATAATGATGATGATAATGACAGCATCATTAAAAACCAAAAAGTTGAATCAATAACGTGGTGTGTAATACATTTTTTTGTTTGGTGTAATAGATAAATAGATATTGATTATTGTTAGATTGTCACTTTTACCATTATTGATTCCTGTTGACAATATCATATTAAGGAAAGACTCACAAATCACATTTTTTTTTTTTGATAATGATGATACATTATGAATATTTTTTTTCATTTATTGATTGATTGATCACTTAATCTTTTTTAGTTTGAAAAAGAAATGGTGAGCTTTATTATTTTTTTTTCAAATGGAATTTGCTCTTCATACAACAACAAAAAAACATTATAATCATATACTGGGCAAATTGAAAAGATATAGACCCAAACACATAATCATTTATATTCATTCGTTCATTATAAGCCAAATATAACAAGTGCAATGTGTGTATAAATGGCCAATGATTTTCTTTATTAAAAAAAAGAAAGAAAACAACATGGTCTGATATCATATTACATGGTCCGAATAATGTACTTTAAATTTTTTTTTTAAATTTAAATATTTCTGACAATGCCATCATGTTCATCATTAGTTCATTATTCTTGAATATACAGTATCAAATGATAGGATTGTTTGCCGCGTTTTAATGACTGACATGTGTGATGTGTGTGTGTGTGTGTGTGGATATTCCACATTCACCACGAACATCAACAACATTCAACAAGTTCTGTTTTTATTATCATTCGCTATTCATATACAATGGTTTGGTTACGTTGTTCTGGTATTTTGGCGATTTGTTTGGGATCGTGGGAACACAACTTACAATTTGCCAAAAAAAAAAATATGACCAGATTGCTATGAAATTTGAATTTAGGCGGTTGTCTTGTCATTTTCATTCGGTCGAGAATGGATAGGCCACATTACCAAATGATGATAATGATAATGATGAACTTTGGCTGTTGTTGCTTGTGGATTTAAATAAAAAACTCAGGCATACCATACACACACGTATTTGGTCAATAATAATCATATCTTACCGCAGCCATTGAAAAACGAAAGAAAACCAAAACTGTCATTGAATGAATTGATTTTCTTTTTTCTTGGTTATTCATTTAGAAGAACTGCAACTAAAAAAATTTGAATTTTTTTTGACCAAGAAAAAAAATACTAAAATATGTCAACCATTTAGATCGTTTTGATTTTTTTTTGTTGTTGCAAGTGTTATCTCGATTCAATTTTAAAGTGAAAGGACCGCTTTGTTGTTATTTAAAAAAGTCTTCAAATTGAAGACAACAACCTTGGAAAATGAAAATGAAAAAATTTCATTCATTTTCTTCAACGACGACGACGATAATGATGATGATGACCATATGCGTGCGGTCTTTTCTCTAAATTGGTCCCCTTCAATAGGTGCCATTATTTGTCAAGATTTCTATTCTTCTATTGTTCCTGATGAGAACCTATTGAATTGATTGGATAATTTTCTACATGATTAAATTATAATTTAAAATTTTTTTAGAAAAATTTTTCTAAATAGAAAAAAAACCACATTAAGTTGATACAATGAATCGATGGCCTGGAAATCCGTAGATTTTTGGAGGAAAAAAAATTCGGTACCATAATTCAAATTTTTTTCATTTCCCAATCCACTTGTGTTTGTCAAAAAATTTTTCTTAATCAAAGCAATCAATTTGTCCTTCTGAATTCAAGACAAACAAAACAACCGAACACTTAGATAGATAAATCATCATTTGTGGTTCAGTAGTCGATTTTATCTATTTGGTAATCACACCGGGGGTTTTTTTCTCAAGAAGGGTATGCCTGCTACCACCGCCACCACCACCCTACTTCAAAAATACATATTGCTACTTATTCATGAAAAAAAAGATTGAGAGAAGAAAAAAAAATTGATTATAATTTCATTTGCACGACCCGGACATAACGTGCACGATCGAATGGAAACATTGAAAACAAAAAAAAAGAGAGCCAATCGAAGACAGACAATCGAAGCAATTATCATAGG